AATTCGCTTTCATAAAGGTGTTGGGGATTTCCGTTCTTCTCGATGTTGTGGAATAATTCTGCAAGATAGTAATTAGTTCTCTTATAGTAAGTGTGATAAAATTCGTATGTGAAACCAATCTCTGCCGGGAACTTTTGTTTTTAGGGAGATTTTTTTTTTTTTTTTTTATATTGGTTAATATTTACATTTTATTATCTTTTTCTTTTTTTAACTTTCACTCTTCCTACTGGATTAGGGAGATTTTTAATTGGCTGTTTGTATTATCAGTGTTAGATTGGTCTGTTCAGGGGAATGCTCATTTCTTCCTGGTTGAGCTAGGGAGGGCTAGTGTGTTTCTAGAAATTCTTGCAATTTCCTCCACATTTTCCCGGTTTGTGTGCATAAAGATTTTTTGTAGTAGCTCATAATTTATATCTTGTATCTCCTTTGGGATCAGTTGTGATAATCTCCTTTTTTCTGATGGAGCTATATTAGAGATTTTCTCTTTTTCTGCTTTTCTCGTTAGCTAGCCAATGGCAATGTCAAGTTTTGCTTATTATTTCAAAGAACCAACTTTTGCTTATTAATTCCTGAAATACTTTCTCTGTTTTCAATTTTGTTAGGTTCTGATTTGATCTTGTTGATTTCACTTCTCTAACTGAGTATATATGGGGCTTTTTCTTCAGCTCTTAGAGTTGTTTCATTAGAATTAAAGTCGTCTATTTGTGATCTTTTTGATATTTTATAGCATTTAATGAGATAGAACTTTCCTCTCCAACGTACTGCAGAGGAATTGATAACTTGGTCTCTCATTGTCATTTTGTGTCATAGAATTTTTTTATTCAATCTTGATTCTTCCATTTATGAAGTAATCATTTAAGAGGACGGTTGTTTATTCCACAATTTTTGTGATAGAAATGTCAGTTTCCTATGAGCAGGGTTGATTATCTACTTTTATTCCCTGTGATCCGAGAAGGTACATGTATGATTTCAATTTTTTAAAATTCTTGAAGCTTACTTGTGTCCAGGATATGGTCAATCTTAGAGATGTCCCATGAGCTGATGAGAAGAAGTATATTCAGGGATTTGGGTAGAGAATGTCCTGTAAATGTCAGTCAGACCAAATTCTTCCAGAGTTTTGTTTAGTCCATTATTTCTTTTATTAATTTTAAGTTTGGAGGACTGTCTTGTGCCGTCCAGTGGGTGTTGAAATCTCCAGTGATTATGGAGTTGCTATTAATCCAATTTGCTTAGATCCAGTAAGGTTTGCTTTATGAAACTGAGTGCACCTAAGTTGGGGTGGCATATATATTTAAATGTTATCTCTCTTGTTGAACTGTGCCTTCACCATTATATATGACCTCTTTGTCTTTCACTACTTTTGTTGGTTTAAAATCTAAATCATCTGAAATTAGAACTGCCACACCAGCCTTCTTTTGGCTTCCACTTGCTTGGAATACTGATTTCTACCCTTTTACTTTTAGTCTATATGCATCCTTGCAGGTTAGATGTGTTTCCTGATGACAGCATATACTTGGCCTGTATTTTCTTATCCATTCAGCCAGCCTATATCTCTTGAGTGGAGAGTTTAATCCATTCACATTTATTGAGAGAACTGATAGGTAAGGTAGATTACTGTTCATTCTGTTGAGTTGGATATTGTTGCTCTCATTTCTCTCTTGAGCCATTGTATTATCTGGCCTTTAATCTTTGGGTTTTGGTTGTTTTTATATTCGTGAGTTTTTATTATGGTGTTCCATGCATAACACTGTTTTGAGTACTTCTTGTAGGGCTGGTCTTGGCGAATTCTCTGAGACTTTGCTTGTCTGAGAATGTCTTTATTTCTGCTTCATAGATGAAGCTAAATTTTGTGGGGAATATGATTCTAGGCTGGGCATTGTTTTGTTTCAGAAGAATGAGAATGGGGCCCAGTCTCTCCTTGCTTGTAAAGTCTCATTAGAGAAGTCTGGTGTTATTCGAATTGGCTTTCCCTTGTATGTTACTTGCTTCTTTCGTCTTACAGCTCTTGGAAGGGCCTCTTTAGTTGATATTTTGGTCAGTCTGATGACTGCATGTCGTGACGTCTTCCTGTTTGCATTGAATCTCCCAGGGGTCCTCTTAGCTTCTTGAACTTGTATATCGAGAGTTTGAGCAAGGCCTGGGAAATTTTCCTTTATTATATCTTCAAATAGCTTGTCCAACCCTTGAGTGTTGTCTTCTTCCCCTTCCGGTAACCCTATGACCCTCACATTAGGTTTCTTCACTTAATCCCACATCTCTTGTAGGCTTTGCTCTTTTCTCTTGTTTCTCTGCTCTATTTCTGTGACTATTTTAATTAGTTGGAGGGTGTTATCGTCAATCTCTGAGAATCTTTCTTCTGTTTGATCTACCCTGTTCTTGAGACTTTCCACTGTATTTTGTAGTTCCCTTAATTGGTTCTTCATTTCCAGGAGTTCAGTTAAACTTTTCTTCATTGTATCTATTTCTTTAGTGAACTTTCGTTCTAGGTCCTGGAGGCTTTTTGTGGTTTCTTTGTGTTGGTTATTGAGTTGTTCTTGCAGGTCGGCTAGTGTTCTTATGATCCACATACGAAATTCCTCTTCTGTCATTTTGGTTGCCTGATTTTGGTTGGTGTCCATTTCTAGGGGGCTGGTGCTCCTCTTTGGGGGGGTGTTTTCTGTTTGGTTCTTCATATTTCCCGAGTTCCTTCGCTGATTTCTTCCCATGTTGATCCATTGTTGTTTGTTTTCTTTATGTTTTTGTTTGGGTATTCACACACCTTGTTTAGTTTCTGAGCCGGTAGGTGGTGTCTGTGGGTGAGATTTGACCCCCTCCCTGTATAATGAGTCAGTAGGTGCCATGAAAAGGCTGTGCAGGATGTCCTCCCTGTCAGTAGATGGTGCTTGCTTGGAGGAACAGGCTATGCTGTTGCTTTTGTGTCCTGTTATCAGCTCTTGGTCGCTATAAGAGAGGCACTCTAGGTGGCCTCGCAGGTGGTCGGTAGGGCCTGGGACTCCAGGGTGTGTCCTTTTCCTCCCCCATGTGAGGCTGGCTCGGAGAGAGTCTTGGGCGAGGGCTGGGTTTGGTAGGGAAAGGCCTGCCCTCAGGCACACCAAGGTGTCGCTCTCGCAGCGCGCTCAGCTCTCGTTCTCTAGCTTCCAGGAAAACGCTGTCAGGGAGGGGGCTGGAATGGGCCTGCTCAGTCAGAGAGCTGCGTGGGGGGAGGGCTGTCCTGGAGACCGCCAGTGCTGCGAGCGCGGGCCTGGCTTCTGTTGCCCACCGTCCCCAACTCTGAAGGCGTACATCGCCTGGGCCTCTGCCAGCCAGGCCAGTACCTCACACGACCACAGGCCTCCCCGGACTGTGATGCCAGTGAGGAGGTTCCTTGCGCAGGAACGCCACCTGGGTTGGGTGTAAGGCCTCCTTTTGGGAGGAGGGTTGCCCTCTAGGATGTTAATCTTCCCCTGGAGGCACACACACCTCAGTAGACTGTTCACATATAACCCTTCTGTGCCCCGGGCAATGCGAGACCTCGGTGCACGGGATCTGGTCTGCAGGTCTGACCTCTGGGTCCCAGAGTTTGAACTATATCCCCACCAGAGAGAGGAGTGCCAGTCCCAATTTGCCCACAGGGAGCCCAAGCTGGGTCTATGTCTCTCAGCCTCAGGGTCTGCACCGTTCTCCTGGGATCACCATGCCAGCAGCACCTGGGAGGGCTGGTGGGTAGGGAGCTCACAGTCTGAGTTCCCCTTAGTCCGCTGTAGGGCCCCAAAAGGGAAAGTCCCGTTCCCTGGAGGTGTCTCTGGCTGGTGGCTGTATTGTCTCTCTGGGCAGCCGCGGGTAAGGTGGGCAGAGGGGAGGAGGAGGCATAATGGTGCCTGCCGCACCTCTCGGGTCTGTGCACACGGAGGTGCCCCGCAGGATTTGGGAGCCTGGTGCCGCGTCCACTACTGGCTCACTGCTAGCTGGCGGCGGCCATCTCTGGGCTGGTGTCCGCAGGTCTCTCCATCTGCTGGGGAGCCCACCAGCAGTCCCACATGCAGGGGAGGGGAAAGGTGACTGATCCACCTACCCTTCCCGCTGGTCTCCAGGCTCCTCCGGTTGTCTCAGCTTCCAGTTCTCCTCCGCAGCCTCCTCCCGTGGTCTCAGGTACCCCTCCTTCCAGCCCTCATCTGCTGTATGCTCATCTTCTTGCTTCTTTTTTCTAATTTCTGCTAGAATCTGTCTTTTCTGCAGAGACACTCTGTCTGGTGGTGTTTCTCGTCCGCCATCTTGATCCTCCCCCTGCTTTACAAAATTTTGTGCAAAAAATATCATCTATCAAGGTCTTCCAGTTGGATCAAAGCCCTGTGGAGTCTTGTGTCTCTTAGCTATCCCACTCCCTGTGCTGTTAGCCTATACTTCCTAAGTGCTTGATGGTGCTAAATTGTCCCTTGATATAGAAATGCAGAGGATTTCTGGCCCTGTAACTCACCTCTCCAAAAGGTAGAGTCCTTCTGCCTATACTTCAACCTCTGTGTCAGCCCCAAACTCATCCAGTCACGTCTTCATCCTTCTGAGTCACCACTGTGTCTGGTGCATCATTCCATCCTGGACACTGCTGGCTGGACTCTGCACCCACTCCAGCAGTTCTGGCCACATCCCAAAGAGATCTGGGCGTGGTCTCCAAGCCCAGGATATAAAAGGCATCAATAACCCAGAATAATAGGTATGGGCATGGACTCTGGAGCCAGATCACCTCAGTTTAAAATCCTGGCCCCACCACCTGCTAGCTGTTTCATCTGGAGATGATAAAAAAGGGATAATAATGGTATATATTACAATGGTATATATTGTTGGGAGGATCAAAGGAGGAATGATTGGGTTAAAATTGTGCTGGAACATAGTAAGCACTATATAAATGTTGGTTAAATAAAGAAGTAGTCCTGTTTATAAGAGCAACAGGCTCCACAGCACCCTACAGAGGGGCCTCCCCTAATGCCTGACTGTTCCCAGCTCACCCACCTGTGCTTCTCTTCCAGAGCTGGGCCTCCAGAAGAGAGGATGCTGTCTGGTGCTGGGCTACATGGCCAAGGACACGTTCCGGAGAATGAGTGAAGGTCAGTGAGAACCCCCCATTGCGGGTGATCTGGAGGGAGGAAGCTCTGTCCTACCACTATGGTGCAGAGGAACCGGGAAAAAAAAACGTGTTACATCTCAGGAATCAGTTTGATTTCCATGAAGCTATTTATACAATCACGTGGGGAAGAGCAGTGAATGCCTGAAACACAGGATGCTGATTCATGAGCACTCTCCTTGTGCTATGTCCCTCCTCCCTTCCAGCCCCCACTTCTCTTCCTCTCTCTTCCCTGCTGTTTCTCCCACCCACTTGCCAGCCCAGTTAAATCTGCTTCCATTGTCTTTTCTGATCCAGACCTCTCTACCATTCTCCTCAGTCATTCAAATTTCCTGAATGCCTTTTGAACAAAGGCTCTTGACAGGCACTGGGGGAAGAGTTGAGAGCACCAAAGAGGGGCAAGTTTCTCCCAGAGAACCTACATTCAGAAACCTTCCCTTTCCCAGCTGCATGGGCCAGTCTGCCTTCCTCCTGCACTGGGCCTCTCTTCCAGGGCTTGATTGGGTCACCAAGGGTGTGGGGAAGGCATTGACATTGGTGTGGAAGCTGGGGTGTGAGGAGAGTCCTGCTGTGATAGAGAGCCAGACCTCTTCCTCCTTCCATCAGATCCACTGACTGTTTGTCAGAATGTAAAAGTAAATGAACAATACCTGGGTATGCCATTTATTCATTAAGTCAGACAAAGGAAGCCTTGGTTTCTCATCAGTCAAGCTTGCCATGAGCTGGGCCCTCCCCTCCCAAGGCCCAGGGCCCCATACCCTCATTCCCACCCAGGCAAGGAGGCAGCTCCCCACCAGCTCTAGAGTTAGACATGGCATCGTCTCAGTGCCTCTTTGTGCTCTCAGCTGGCTCTACCCCAGCCCACTCCATGACGCCACACCCTCATGTGCTCCCCAGACCTGAGACCTTGCCAGCCATGGGTCTGTCACCAGCACCCATCATGGTGACAGTCTGGCAGGAGTGAGGCCAGCACAACTAAGCACAGGAAGTGATCACAAATCCCATTTGCTGCCTGTCTGTGTTAGAAAGCAGCAGACCAAGGGCAGGCGTGGTGGCTCATGCCTATAGTCCTAGCACTCTGGGGGGCCGAATGGGGCAGATTTCTCAAGGTCAGGAGTTCAAGACCAGCCTGAGCAAGAGTGAGACCCCGTCTCTACTAAAAATAGAAAGAAATTAATTGGCCACCTAAAAATATATAGAAAAAAATTAGCCAGTCATGGTGCCTGTAGTCCCAGCTACTTCGGAGGCTGAGGCAGGAGGATAGCTTGAGCCCAGGAGTTTGAGGTTGCTGTGAGCTAGGCGGATGCCATGGCACTCTGGCCCAGGCAACAGAGTGAGACTGTCAAAAGAAAGAAGAAAGAAAAGAAAGAAAGAAAAGAAGAAAAGAAAGAAAGAGAGAGAGAGAGAGAGAGAGAGGAAGGAAGGAAGGAAGGAAGGAAGGAAGGAAGGAAGGAA